GCTGTTCTTTGGAGGATCTGGCGATCCAGGAACTGGGTAGTCTTTGAGGGGAAGCAATTTGGGATCCCTGCGTTGATGCGCCAGTTCTCCCAGCAGTATGAGGAATGGGTGCGCCTGCCGGTGGATAAAATCTCCCTAGTTGCTCCTCACCCGTTACATCATCCGCTGGCTCCGGGAATGCTGACCGGGGTTGTGTGTATGTGGGATGGGGCTACGAGGTATGGGTCTCATTCGGCAGGTGGTTTGGTTCTCATGTCCCCTACTCGGGAGGTCCTTCGGGTTAAAGGGGTCCAATTCCCGGATATGGATGACCCCATGATGGTGGAGCTGCTAGTCCTTCGTGAAGGCCTGAGGTGGTGCTTGGATCAGGGGTTCTCTGAGGTGAATTTTGAAGGGGATGCCAAGGTGATCATAGACAAGGTCAACCGCGCTGATGTGAGAGATAGCCGAGTGGGTGCGATTTTAGAGGAGGTGGTGCTGGGCTTCTCCAGTTACCCTGGTTTTAGTGTGCGTTTTGTAGGTCGGAGTAGTAATAGGGTAGCCCATTTGGTGGCTAGGAAGGCCCTTTCTTTGTACCCGACTGCGAGTCGCTTTTTTTATTTTCAGGCCTGGCTGAACTCCAGGATGTAACTGCCTATTTTTTTGAATCAATGCATGATTATCTTTTGTCAAAAAAAAAAAGGTGACATCTAAGTATTGATAGAATTGGAAAAGCCAAATTAAGGTTTTTAACATTATATTATTTTAAAATTTTAGTGGAAGGTGGATGATGAGATCGGATGACAAGTAATTGGGTGTAGCTGGTATATGAATTACATGAGAGTCGGTTATGAGTAGGGATGGCAATGGAGCGGGTTTGTCTAAACTATCCACATCCTCATCTTCAAATATCCAAACTCATACCCGCCTCATACCCATGCGGGGGAATGTTTGGCAAACCCATCCCCATACCCGTGGGTTTTAGGTACCCATGGGTAATATCCGTACCCATACATCCAACATTATTATCCTAAATTTTACAAGAAAAGTTTTAACTACAACTCTAAACGTACCTTACCTATTATATCACGAATTCAACAAAACACGATCATTTTTTAATACGGTTCAAAGAATATGATCCTAAAATATTCGTTAATACATAATATAGAGTATAATATTTTTAAAATTATTATGTTCTAACTCTGATACATCTACTAAGAGGTCGTTTGGAAGTTGTGATTGTTAGAGTTGTGTTTGTTGAATACATGTATAATGCACAATACAATGTTTGGAAGTGTCAAAGTGTAAAACAATGCATGTATTGTTTTAGGTAGATCCCACCAACAATCACAAAAAATGATGCATTATACAATCTCAACTAAAAGTTGAGATTGTTGGTTTTAGATTTGTGTCAACTTTTTCTTTCCATTTATATCCCCAATAGTTTTTGTCTTATTCTAAAAGTTGAGGGTAAATGTGACATTTCCCCGTAAAAGTAACTTTATGTAAATCAATGCATAAAGTAGAATCTCAACAACCAAACAATGTATTGTTAAAATGCATCCATTATATCAATACATGCATTTATATTATGGTGATTCATTACAATGCAACGATTTAACATTCGCAACTTCCAAACGACCCCTAAGTAATAATTAACTAACATAATCTTGTTGACAAGGGGAAAAGTGAAAGAGTGAAAGGAGAATTGAGGGAAATGAATTAGGTTTTTGATTAAGGTGGTCACTCAATTGCATTTCTACTATTTATTTCCTCGAGTTATCCTCATCATCATTGATAGATTACAATTTGATCCACATATTTTTGTATATGTGAAGAAAATCTCTTGGTGGGGCGGATATGGGTATGAGTATGGGGCGGGGGAGGCTAAAACCATGCTCGCCCTATACCTGATCAAAGCAGGGATTACTCGCGTTGACTGGGTCGGGGGCGGTCGGGTACCCATGGCCATGGGTTTGATTGTCATCTCTAATTATGAGTATGAAAATGGGAAGAAACCTAAGCTCCTCCTCGATCCATCCCAACTGTTTTTTACGGGTATTAATCATACTCGCGTCCTCTAATTAACACAAAAATTCTCCTCATTGATTGGATCAAGTAGAGTCGAATATTCACAATTGTGGCACAGTTATCATCCCTAAAACCAGAAAAGAATTAATAAAACTTTTACAAACCAATTAACCAATTGCAGCATATATAATAATAATATATAATATGCTGTGCCAGTCCTCTCCATTGACTTCTGTTTCACTCTATATACCATGACTCATCTATCACTATAATTATAACAACCTGTAACCTTTTCCTTCTCTCTGAATGATCCGCAGCATGTTATTCTATTTCTATAATGTAATTCTGGGTGTATGTGTTTTAGTGGAGAACCAAATCATTAGGGTTTAGAAGGTTACTCCCAAAATGGCCATGTGATGCCTAACAGCTGATAGGCATTTTAAAATATATATTTTTTCAATGCTCAAATATGATTATATTAGTCTGGATTTTGTTGATCCGAGGGACGATCTTCTATACATTATACACTACTAATTTTGTCTCTTGTGGTTATGCATGTTGTATCTTGGCAAGCAACAAATTAGTCACATTTATTACCTGTGATTTCATTGATCATACTTAGAAAAAAGAAATTGAAAAGTGAATTCAATTGAGTTAGGTTTGGATTGAATTGAGCTGAAAGTACATGAAAATTATGTCATATGTACTTGTGATTTGTGATTATTTTTGTAATATTTTATCATCTAAACATTTTTTGGATTTGGTTTGATTTTTAACCGAAACATATCAGATACTGAGGCCTAACTGATGCAAGAGGGTCAACTTATTGTTTCATAACTTGTGACGGTACATACAGAAAAGTGTGAATAACAACAAAATTAAACAGTGAAACGCGTTTTGTCAAACGAGTCACTAATGAGGGGGAAACATGTGATCTATGAGACTTTATATATAAATTAGCTACAGTAATCACTCATGCCTTTCCATAAAACAAAAGCAGAATCACTCAATGTTTGATGGAACAGATTTCGACTTGATTACTTAGTTTGATGGATCTTTAAATGTGATGGCTAATTAATATGGGCCATTTTGCAATTTGTAAACAAATTATAGGGTCCCTTCTCATAATCATTACCATGTCATGTTTTCCTATCTATCACCTAAACAAAGAGGGGAGGAAAAAAAAACAAAAGACCAAAGAGATGGAACAAACTTGAAAAGGGGAAAGCAAAGGGAACCATGCTTTAACTCCAAGATCTTGCCTAAATATAGTCCAAATAGATATATAACAAGGCAAGCTCACTTTAAATCAAGGGTTGAAATACAGAGTCAGTTGTAGAGTATTTTATACCGAGATCGTGGTTTAATTGTAGTTCAACCGTATCATATCGCTAAATATCTTTTATCGATTTTACTTATGGAAGAAAGTTTTTTCTGATCAGACGGTCGATACAGTACGGTTTTTCAATCATTGCTTTAAAGTATGAATGGGAAAAAAATGTAACCATGGTCACCCACTTACCCGAATGAATTCATCCAACTACTCGAATGAAGAATCGCTTCAAAATCAAGTGAATTTTCTTGTATCAAACTTTAATGACATCGTGAAATGAAAATGTTATAAGCAACCATGGTAATTTATTTTCACCGTGTGACACTTCAAACAATCAAATGTGTATGTCATAACAAGAGAAGTTCTTAACTTGATTTGATGAGAAGATTAAGCACCAGTGACGGTTATAGCAAAGGGATTGATGTTTTATATATGCTTCTTTTTCTTTTTGTCAAAAAATGGAAAGACAATGAATTTCTGGGTCCAAAATGTTCTCTTCTTGAGATTAAAGCAGAGGTTTCTATTTCACCCCAAAAAAGCAGGTTTCCAGGCCCAAAATGTTGAAGCTACGAGATTCCAAGGAGGCAAAACAGAGCATGTTTCTGGAAAGCTTCACACTCTTTCAGGGCTAAAGCGACATTAAGACAGTAGACACTATGTGTCACATTTGGCGGAGCACAAACATAATAAGAGATGGACCCAAAAGCACATACTTGTTTTGGAATCGAGATCACATATTCAACTTTTATTACGAGAGATAATTAATCGAGATTTCACGTTTGAATGCTCTTCAGAGTTCCAACCGATGCTCTCGATGAGTTGGAGCGAGTTGGATGATTCCATTGAACAACAACATTGCATCAACGATTGATAACCTTGTAACTGCAGAAGCATCGTACGATGCATAGGTAGACTGTGATATCATAACGACAAATTGAAACAAGTATAGGCATTCTGAACAATGTACAATTTCCCCCCCTTAAATGATGGTTCCAAACTCCAAGTGGTGTAGTCATCCTAGAGATCCCTGCAACTTGAAGCAAGATCAAGGCACTAGCTAGGAGGTGGAAAAGGCACACAGATATCCCACTAAAAGGAGTCTAACCCTTCAAGCAAAACTCAAAAACTCTCATCATTTGGTTTATAGAAGATTACTGGAAGCCCACCTTTGCAGTAGTAGTCCATGCGTTTGTTGGATTCTCTTGTCTGTGTCGACTCCAAGGAGAGGGAAAAAAAAGTTTGAGAGCCCTAGTCTACATCTGTAATCATCACAAATCATACCAAGAAAATTCTTCTTTAGGGCAATGGCTATTCCCACTTTCTGCTTTTGTCAACCTTTTCAAACCTCAAGATTTTCACCACCAACCTAGCCCTTTTGCTAATCATTCGTTTGGGTGAATTTGAAGTAAATGTGTCCCTGAAATCATTGCATTTTGGTTAGTAATGGAGGCATTAGTGATCACAGCTCTAAAGTTGCTTTGAGATCATAGTAATGCTGCATACCATTTCCCATGGCCATATGAGGGGCCATTTAATTTGACTAACAGCAACCAGCATAATGTTTAGTTATTACTGCTCAACAGTTGGATGCCTTTGTCTATCTAAGAACTAGAAAGCCCTCTTTCTTTATGCAATGGATGAACAATGGTTATTGGTTCCCAGAGGCCAGAGAGCAATCGAAGGCATAGAAACTTACTTAGCATGTTGTTCAGGAAACGATGAGTTCCTAGTTCCTACCCAAGAAAGTGTGAACCGGTGGTTTCGTTGAAGAGAGGGTTAGAACAACAATGATTCTTCGGAACTCATTCGTTACTAACATGGTTAAGTCACGGCTTTTTCTTGTTCAGATACAACATGAACAAAACAACACACTTCTTGTTCATTGAAGTAGCTTAGCAGCTCTGTTGCAGACTTCTTGTTATACTGTTTCTAAACAAGAAAGCAAATCCTTGTCAGATTCTATGAGATCAATGTAAATTGTTGCTAATTGTATACCACGAATGCTAACTGCTTCGAAAACGGTGGAATTTTGAGGATGTTCGAGCATGACTCATCAGGTTGATGCTCGAATTTTGAGGGGTAAGATTCTGATTTTACCAATCTTTGCTATCTACAGCAATGTCTGAAAATCTCTTGTACAGGGAACTTGCTGCTACAATGTCCCACTCTTGTTCAGTCTTCGTGATCACGGAAACGAATAATTTTGTTGATGAAGGACCTTTCACGGCGATATCTACAAAGACCGAACAAAAAAGAGAAATTATCGACATATTTGGACCTTTAACATCAATTTCTTCTCATAACAGGATATTGGCTAATGGAGAAGAGTGTACTCACATGATGATCAACGATATGGAGAGGCAAGCTACTCCAATGGAAAAGTGAATGAAGAATGTCGACCAGAAATTCTCGCGGTCAAGGAATACTCTCTCTGAAATGAGAGTAACTATCCCTGAAATCAGAAGCACTGGCCAACCAGAAGGCAAACATCTGGAAAAGGAGAACGCAGAGGAGTCCTATAGGGAGCAAAAAGCAATGTCAGTTCAATTTGGGTCAGGGCAGTACAAGCATGAGAAGATGTCTGTCACAATATAGCCATACCTGGAAATAACCCTTGATGAAGACTGCCGAGTATATAATCCTCATGGTCATATCTATACTAGTCAAGACAAACAAGTTCCCTTATCTCAAGTAATAAAGCCAATGTTCAAGAAGACGCTAGGCGCTATCTAGGCGAAGAGGCACCGCCCAGCACCCAGGCCGATTAGTCGTTGCCTAGGCGAGATTAAACGTTGAAAAAAAAATGATAGATAAGCCATGTTCTACAAAACCCCAAGTCACCATATCATTATTCATCCATTCATATACACATACAACCCTTTTCCACAATCCCAAACATCCCAAGTCGCCAACCATGAGGAGGGATCTCACTGCTGGTCGATGAGGGAGAGCGGTTGGTCGAATGAAAATGGAAAATAAAATAGGGTTTGGGATTTTCACAAAAAGGCTACACTTTCCCTATTTATTAGTTGTTTTGGGTGTCACCCACCAGAGTGAAAACACGCCTCCGAGTGCCTAGGTGCCTAGATCAATCGCCCATGGCTAGACGGGGCGATTTCCTCCTGCCCAGCTATTAATCGCGCCTAGGCGAGAGATTAATCGCGTCTTCTTGAACACTGAATAAAGCATCTCCACACAGACAAGAAACCTTAATATGAAGCGAAAACCTAAGAAACTTATGGAAGAAAATGTAGGATACTTAAGGAATTGGCCAGTATCAAGCCCACTGCTCCAGCTGACCGAATCAGTAAGACATTGAGTACCACATAGATAACGGAGAACAGAAGCAACGAGTCATTTGAACGTTTAATCTGGTTTTCTGTAGCAACAGCATGTAGAAATGCTTCCGAAGTGCCTGAAAAAAAATTAAACCGTTCAAATATCAAAGTTCTTTAGATAGCTCTACTTTACTCGCATTCTATATTGTCATGAAATTCCAGGAGAAAAAGGTGCACTGACCATTCATGGCTAAAACGATTACATATACGCAATAATACTGGAGGGCTATTGAAGCTTCTCCATCACTCCATTTCTGGCCATATAGCAATCGAATGAGCGAGTAGGAATAACTAGGACCAAACGCCATGAAAACAAGACCTGCAAAAGACGAGAAACATCTTATGGTCTTGAATCATACATATGCATATCAAAGGGATGTTTTTTTTCTTTCTGAGAGAGACCTAAAAGAGAAGGATGACCACACAGGAAGTTCTGAGGGATTTATTGAACGAATGGATACAGATTAAAGGAACAATCTAACAGAGCAGGTTTACCAATTAGTAATACAAGCTTCAGTGCCTCAGTTAGAGAACTCCCAACCTTCTTGCTTTTGTTAGGATACTGTCCTGTCAAAACAGAAATTGAAAATTCCTAGTTACTAACAAGAAAGATGGTGAAAAACAATAGAGTAAAAACTGAATAGCAAGAATGCATCACGTTTTCAACATTTCTTCCAAAAAATGGCCCAGGTATACCCTTCTTAAAGTTTTCGATCCGAGAAACCAAGTGGATAAACAAATTGTGCATAATTCTTTTTGCACAGTGTCAAGATTGAATTGCCAAGTTACCAAAGTGTAAGACTGTCATCTGATAGGAATTGTAAGGAAGTACAGTCAAGGCAACAACTAAGGAAAGATATAAACCTGATGCAGACCTGGCAAATGTAGAATATGAGCTTTCTTCAAAAGGAAGAAAGACCAGTCTCACTACTAAGCTCCCTGTGTGCAACAGTTTTAACAATGTTACAATATTGCTCAAAGAAGATTAATACAAGACAAGATACTCACGATGGAGAGGTAAATGTAGAGTTATCCAACCAACCTAATTTGTCGACTATTCCATATACAGCTTGATTATATGGTGTATCCAGCCACACAAGGACAAGCTTCTCGCCTTCTTGAAGGATTAACTTCCGGAAGGATTGAAAAGTAAAAAGCATACACATGTTCGAGAGCTGCTTATCATAATCCCTCAGTGTTCCTAGCCTGAGAAGCATTATGTAACTAATAAGATCCATGGCGTATATAATATGCACTGACAACACGACAACAGATATTCTCTTAAATGACTTACAAGAGTATTAAACAACCATAAAAAAAATATTACAATTACCTGAATGGTAATAGTTTGAAACTTCTAAATGCACGCCTCAGAAGAAAGTAGCTCCAGTATCCTACAAACAAGCAAGCTCCATATGCAGTCTGAGACAGTGCAAAAACAATCCTTTTGTCCTACAAGAGTTGGAGAACTTTTATCAGTGCAACTGACCAAACAAGCATATCATGGCCACTGCTTTGAAGCATTATATGACATTACGAGCAAAATTATGAAACTAATAAAATTTTACCATGCTAGAGAGCTTGACGACCAGTATGTACATAGTCAGACAGCGTAAAAGCGTGGCAGCAGATTCAACAATTAACCGCAGTTCAAGTAGCAGTAAGTTCTGTGACAGGATGTATAACGGCTCTGCCAAAAGCTCCAGCATACATGCACCGCCTGAAGCAGATATCCCAAGAAAGGAAGAGATAAGTCCACTGGAGATATATAGCACAGCAACCATGAAAAAAGAAGCCACATAATCTCACCATTGATCAAGATAGCTTGTCCATATGGGTCAGTGTAGTGTAGCCCTTGCCACCAGAAGACAAAAGCAGATGCTGCAATTGTGATTACAATTCCAAGTGGAAGAGTCATCCAAGCAACTTTCAGTATCTTGGTTGCATATTCCTCTGTTGAAGTTTCAGCACTGCAGAATACGCCCATCATGAATATTGAATACTTTCATATTAGAGTACCACAGACTAGAATTTCATAAAATGGTTGAATTAAAGTGAGGCAAAAGACGAACCCTTTAGCGTCAGCCCTCAAGGTGGCTCGCCGGAATCCCTCCCGGCTGAGAAACAGGACGCAGGTGACGAAAAGGTGAAACTGCACTGCGTAAATCTGCAGCTCAAATACAGCAAGGATATTCAGTTTGAAGGATCCGTGAAAGCAATTGACTAGGAGAAATAATACACAAGAAGACCAGAGAGAATTGGAGGAAAAGGAATGATACCGCATAGTCCTCGGCAGTCAGGTACCTCACGATCCATGAATTGAAAATGAATGGTATTCCTCTGGACAACAACTGGGTAGCTACAATTTCACCATTGGAGAAGAATTCATGAGTGATAGAAGACAATACGGTTCAATCAGAATTAGTAAAACTGTGAGCTGACAAGTGATGAAACTCACTGACCTAGTAAGTACTTGAAAGTGCGAGAAAGACTGGGGTCGCCTGGCGTCGCCGTCGACATTATTATCAGGGATCGATCGAGCTCTCGATGGCTCTAGCTTCCAGCTTCGCTCAGCAGTCGTCAGCTAGTAAACCCATTCCGGCATTCGTCTCCTTTGTAAAGACACACAGATGGCGGAGGACGCGGCCACCAGCTGAAATTGCCGATTGACAATTCCGACTCACAACTTCTCTCCACGATCCAGTAGCTGCTGTCGAGCTTCGTGAGAGTCGAAACTAGGAAATCGCCGTCAGAAGTTACGATTCTTCCCTCCCCCGGTGCGGGCGTGCGGCAGCGGCACAATATTCTTCTTCGCGGACCGGGCCTACTGTACCTGAGATTGCGGCCCAGCCCATCCATATACTTCTTTTTTTTTACAAAACATAATCATATATTGATATTCAGAAATAGATCATTACGTCACGTGCCTTAACCAGGCTACGAAATCAAAAGAACGACTCGCTATCGGGTACAAAGAAAGGGCATTTTTAGCCACCAAATGGGCTACCCTGTTACTACACTGACCAACAAACCGAACACTAAACCCAGAATCCTCAGCCAAGTAGAGCAACACCTCACGGAAAATTGCACCCGCCATACTATCACTCCCCTGAGTCAAAAGAATTCTATCCAACACTACCTTTGCATCTCCCTCAAACCGGACCGAGAGACAGCCTCTGCTCCGGCACCAGAGGATAGCTTCCCTAAGGGCCAATGCCTCGACCAGCATTGGATCATCCACCTACGGAAAACACACACCCCTCGCACCAACCACCACCCCGTCCGGGCCCAGCAGCACTACCCCTCCCGCTGAATGAGACCCTGACCTCACGGCTCCATCCCACCTACAAATGAGTTGATTCTGGCTACCAGGTGGCCCCTCCGAGGTGACCCGCACAGGGGCATTCCCCTGTACCTCCTGTGTAAGCGAATCCCACTCCCTCACTTGCTGGTGATATTGCCGAAGAAGGGCTGATATCCCAAACTGTTTGCCCTCAAAGGCAACCCAATTTCGAGACTTCCAGATCCGCCAGAGTATCGCCACAATCGCCATGACCAGGGAAGGGGTCCTAACAACGGCCAGAAGATTCTTGAGGAAGAGCGGAAAGGTAAGCCGAGGCAGGCCCTGACCCACATGCTCTAGCCCCGCTAAATCCCATAAAGCACGAGCCACACAGCAGTCGAAAAATAGATGTTCCATCGTCTCTGGCGCAGCCCAGCAGACTGGGCAACGAGGATGAACATCCACCTTCCTACCAATTAGAGCCTCCGTTTTGGGGAGGAACCTATGTAGAATCTGCCATAGAAACACTTTCAACTTAGGCGGAATCGTCAAGTTCCACACCCGCTTTCAGCTTCCCCGATCCATCCAGCTCACCTCTGGGCGCCAACCTCCAGATTGCTGGTCTAGGCGAACAACCAGATGATACGCAGACCCATCCAGCCCATCCATATACAATAAGCATATGAATCATGAGAATTGGTTTGGCAAATGGATGGTAAATTAGTCGAGTAGAATTGAGTTTTCACCTAGTTCAGACTCAATTCAATATTAAATTAGTTGAGCTCGAATTGAGCCCGAGTTAGATCTCGATATGTTTATTCAAATTTTAGTTCGTGTTTAACTCGATCCTAGTCATTAATGAGCTCACAAGTTCTATTCTAGTTTGTAACTCGTCAATCAGCTCTCAAGTTCGAATCGCTCAAATATCTGAATTCATACGCTTTAAGTGCCCTATTCAATGATCAATTCAACTAATTCAGTTGGGTAATTTTATCGATTCGAGGGAAAATCACCATCACAAGTTTTCACCTACCCCAGATTCAACTCGACTTAATTCGTATTTGACACGATTTGCATTAATTAATGAACTAATAAGCTCTACTCAACCTTGACTAGTGCGCACTGCGCAGATATCATCTGCTCTATTTAATGATCAATTCAAATTTTTCTGGCAGGAAATTGACGTAACCAATGTCACCAAAGAGACGATATCGACCATTAGTTAAGTAAACATCTGACAATCGAGAAACATATGCGATTGCGAAAGATATAGTTGAGTATATTTGGATTGAAACCGCAAACCATAATCATATAACTCGACATAGCAAAAGAACTCCAAGGAGCACAGACCCGAAACCACTCACAGCGTTTCAAACTCAAAAGGATCCTACAGTCAGGAACAAAAATATGGCAACAAACAACGCTGCAAAGCAAAGATCAACGGTAGCGGCGCAGAGAAAGTGTGTTGTTCCTCTTCCAGGTTGCCCTCCTCGATGGCTTGTTCTTGTGGTACAAGTGACCCTTTCCTCTGAGACCTCTGTACTTCTTTCCTGCAGAAGTGAGACCACGAAGCTCCCTGTGCTTGTGGACTGGGTTGCATATCCAGTTGATCCTAGGGTCGTTGCGGATTGCATTGTGTGCAGCATCAACTAGGATCACTTCAAAGTACTTGTATGTCGAATCCTGCATTCATTCAATCATAGTGAGGAAAGGACATAAAAACTAAACCAAAATAGAGTAAAGCAGAGGCAGATTTCATAACAATATAGAGCCCGACAGAGGCTTCTAAAACGGCACCATGAATGAGCGCGATCAAATCAAGATAAGCTAACTAACAGGGAACCTAGTTCATTGTTCTGTTGAATATAAGTCGCAACGGAGTTGAATGTAAGTGTCCAACTGGACATACCTCGTTGATCCAGTAGGAATTGAGAACCTTGAGTCCACCTAGCTTCCGCCCAGCACGTTCCTCTGCGACCGATCGCTTGCTACGCTGGAACTTGAGCTGAGTCACACCCTGGTTGGTGGGCTTTCCATACACAATACCCTTAGGAACTGGCCTCTTCCTTCCACCACGTCTCACACGCACTCGATAAACTACGTAACCCTGCAATCAATTCACAGAACCACTACTGAGACACACGAAATTTGCACAAAACCAAAGCAGGGCGAACAGAAGATAAAGCAGCCATCGACACACAAAGCCGAGACCCAAAAAAAAAATGAAGTTACCTGCTTGGCCTTGTAACCCAAACGACGAGCCTTGTCAGGGCGAGTCGGGTGAGTGACTCGGACGATCGACGGATGCTGGCGATACTCCCAGCACCTAACCCTCTGCAGAAACCTCATCACATCCGACTGCTTCTTCCTCCATAGCTCCGAAACGTACTTGTAAGCCCCTATTTTCACACACCCACAGAGAAGAAATCAAAACCAATCACTAGGTTAAATTTCCCACCATCTCCATCAACAGAGAACTAACTGGACATATTCCACTAAAACGCCAGAAAACCACCAGATCCTATTATACATTTTGCCACAAACGGCAATCGGATTGGAGAAGATTCACATAATCAGGCACTTAACGGAGAAACTAAGAAGGCGAGAGAGAGAGAGAGAGAGAGAGAGGAACAGAAAACGAAGGCTCACCCATTTCGGCGCGCTGCTCCTGCTGTTGCTCGTTCGGCTGGGGAAGAAAGGGGAGCGACGGTGGCGAGAGATTGAAAATATATCTACAATTAGGGTTTCTGTGAAATGGACAGCCCAAATCCTTAACGGGCTTCTGGCCTATTAAAACTGCAGTTTATTTACATAACGGGCCCGGAGCCCAATCAAGCATGAAGTTGATGGTTGCCTAGTGCCTACTCTCTCAATAGTAGTTGAGCGGAGTCGGGTTTTGACCTAACTTATACTCCACTTGTTTACAAAAACTTTGATTTGTGTTTGATTTGACTTTGATTTGAGATCTGCTCGTTAATAAGTCAATGAGCTCTATTTGATTTTGACTTATCAATTAGCTCGCACGATCGACTCGAGCTCAAATATGATATTATTTTGTTCACAAATTTTAATTGTTGGTACCAAATTATTTAATAGTAATTATAATTTGAGCCGTTTATGATACATTATTCTCTTTTAAATTATAACTGAGAAATATTTGATCATGTGGTCAAATTCTTAAAAATTATATAACTGAGATATATAATCTAGGGATGTCAATGGGTCAAAGGTCGGGTCGGATAGTGCATCTCCACTGCCCTACTAAAATAGTTCGAGTTTTACCCAATCTCATAAGAAAATCGAGTAGAATATCAAAATCATGTGCGTGCCCGTTCGAGTTTCGTATCATCGTTAACTATATATGATATTTTCTCTTTATGATTTCCAGCAACATATTAACAATTTTGCATATCTTAAATAAGATAAGTGAAAGTTAAAACAATAAATTACTTAGTTGAAAAATTAGTTACAACAATAAAATTCATAATAAATATTATATATGTTGGACAAAAATCAACTTAGGGGTGGGCAATGGGCGGGGCTGGGTGGATTTTGGTCTAAAATTGACCCACCTGCTTACTAGCGGGTTGGAATATATGTGACCCGCAATCCACCCACATACTTATGTGGGTTGGGTTGGGTTGGGTGGGTGGCAGATGGGTGCGGTTGGGTCGTGGGTTAACCCGCAAAAGCAATTCTCCAACTAGCCATTAAGAAAATTGACAAACATTTATAATAACTTCATAGCAAATTAGTAAGATTGTATCAATAATTTGTGATTTTGATATAATTTATAGTTTGTATCCCAATATTTAATGGATATTAACAATAATTTGCATACCAATATCCAATATCCAATGGATATTGCACAACACAATAACCCATAATAGTAGTCAAAACTATTCTATATTTTCTACCTTTTGAAGTATATGGTCGGACTGTGTGCAATTCGAAAATATGATGAATATTCGATACTATAAGAAATAACATTTTTCTTTGTAAAAATAGGACGCGGGTCATACGGGTGACCCGCAATCCACCCACAAAAGTGTGGGTGGGAGATTTAACAATCCGTAATCCACCCACATCAATCACCCAATGCGTGCGGGTCGGGTTTATTTGCGGGTGGATCAATATCAATTCGCGGATTAACCACCCACGTGTCCACCCCCTATATCAACTGAAAAATAGTGATTATTTTTAAACAAAAATACATATATATGTTTATAAATATAATTGAACGGAATCGGGTTGGATAGTGAGAAACCATGTCCACCCCATCATATGCAATATTCAGGTTATGGTTTTATTCATACTCATTTAAAAAATTTCAGGTTCTGATTTTACCTACCCAATTGGGTCGGATTCGGACGGGTATCCACGATCAATGTTATTTTTGTCGTCACTAATATAATCTAACAATATATGAATTATCAACAAGCCAATGAGAGATAATTAATCAATTCGGCAATTCGCTCATAAATTGCTAGTGTGGCTTTGCTAACCATGTATATCGTCGAGCCTGCTCATAGCTCAAAACGAGATAACTCACGAGTTGAGCTCAACAAGCCATCGAATCGAAATGTCTCACGAGTCTCGCAAGCCGAACAAGCCTAAGCTCAACCTCGACTAGCTAGTAAATGAGCATAATGTCAAACGAGTTTTTCCTGAACCGAACGTTCACTACCACTTGTAAGCAATTTAGCTGATTTGCAGCCCTGCTCCAAGCGGTGGTTGCGGCTGCATGATAACCCCAAAAGTGCCGCAAACTGTAACCAATCGGATCCCCCGAATCTGGAATCGGGCATTTCGAGAGAAAGATTTCTGTGTGCTTCCCCTTTGAGGGGCCTCGTGGAGATCACCATGGAACTCTTCTCCAAAACTCCAAAGGGGATAAGAAAGACAACCGGGTATATAAATACTGCCGAAAATAGGTTATCAATAAAACAAAAGAACTGTAAACGCAGTTGAGGTTACGGAGAAATAGATAAGAGGGGGAGAGGTCAGTTACCGCCGCTGAGGGGGGAAACGATAAGCATGTTTTTGGGTGGAGGCAGAGGGATGGGCGGAATTGGCGGCGGCGGAGTTAGCGGCGGCGGGGGGAACATGATGAGAGGTCTTGGGAGAGCGGTTACTCGGGCTGGAGTGGCCGGTGACCCCATTTCACCGACGTCCGCCCCCAATTCCCCTGCTCCAGCGGCGGCGGCGGCGAGCCCGTCCTCCAGGCAGGCCCGGAAGCCGACGGCTTCCGGATCCGGATCCGGACCCGGGTCGGGTCTTACTTTGTCGGCCGGTCCCGGCGGAGCGCTTCCGATTGGCTGGACTACTTCGGCTCTGGCTGCTCCCTACGGCTCCCCGTTCGACGAGTACGGCAGGGACTGGGAGTGGGTTTCCGCCGACGGGAGCTCTTCCGACGACAAGGAGGTTATCTATGGGCTGACCGACGAGTACTTGGCACTCGCCCCGCCGCCGTCGGCGGACGAAGTTCACACAGCTGTCGATGAACTCTCCGAGTCAGTTTCCGCAAAACACACATCTTAATTAGTTAAACCGTTGTCCCATCTCGATTCAATAATGGGGTTTGATACTTCGATTCGATGATTTCCCGTAATTGGTGTTGCGTAGGTTTGTTGGTTCTGGACGGTACAGGAGTCTAATTCGTGATAGGTATGGGAACGAGAGGATGGACGACGAGATTTGGTGGAGCCCTAAGTTTGCTTCTTCTTCTTCTTCAATTGGATTAGAGCTGGACTGGAAGGAGCCATCTCCAAACCTCAGCGGAATCTCTCGGCCTTATTATGGGACTGATGCAGTTTACAGGGCATTCCATTTGCTGCAGAGTGATCAATCCGTTCAGGTCAGTACTAGGGTTTCTTCTCTGGGTTTCGGTTGATTGGGGAAATGCAATTTGCTACAGGGCACTGTAAAATCTGTACCGTTTTACTGTTGGGTTTCTGTGCAGAGAATGGTGACTTCTTTGTCTTCTGATGCTGCCATATGGGATGCTGTTATTAACAACGAGGTGGTTCGAGAGCTGAGGCAGGCTTATGATCGAGGTAGGCAATCAAAGAAAAAGAAGCAGGGGGAATTGGTGTGCAATGACGGCTACATTCCATCTGCTACTGTTGCTAGAATTTTGATTACTGAAAATTGGTGATTCTTTCTGTTCTGTCACAGATGAAAACAGCAACGCGAATTCAATGAGCCAGGAGAGTGCAAGCGGCGACGAGACTGTGAGTTATGGCGACGAGGACGTCGTTGGAAACAAATTTGTGAAGTGGATCCTCGACAATGTGAAAGCGAGGGTGGTGGCGCTGATCGAGAGCTTATCGGAGCTGGTGAACAAGGTGGTCGTGCCTCGTGGTGAAGATGGTGGTGGCCGTGTCGGGGAAGGAGCGGCGGGCATGGCAGCATTTGAAGGGAAGGTTGTGACTTCGTTATTGTTATCTGTCGTTGTGATGCTGGTTGTGGTAGTGAGCCGATCCCAAAAGGCTTAGATCTTCAAATTCGTCGATCAAACATAATGTTTTTTTTCTTGCTAAAGATCAATTATATCAGTTTATGTAGTGCGGTTATCTTTTACATCAAAATATTCATGTATCGCCATTAGTTAAATCTGTCGGGATGGCAATGGGTCGGGTTGGGGTCGGTTAGTGCATATCCGTTACCCTATCCAAAGTAGTTCGGGTTTTACCCATACCCATACCCACATGTAAAACGGGTAGAAAATTAAAACCATGCCATACCCGTTCGGGTTTCGGGTATTCACGGTTATCCATGGGTAATAATTTCTCTTCATAACTCCAACCAATATTTTTTCTTTTTACAAGAACATAAACTTTCTTTTTTCTGTTTTGTTGTTTTATTTATCAAAAAATCTAGAAACTATAAAAATAATTAGATAAAAGAGTTTCGATCTTGTCAACTGATAGTGAAAAAATAAAATCCGGATAAATACCAATACCTATTACAGGCAGAAGGAGAGAGATGGAAACAAATAGCTCCCGGGGCCCAGCATCAAAAAAATAAGAGTTTGGGGCAGTAAACAACTTGTATCCATAGAACATCTGGCGTAGCATAGATAATAAATAAATAGGAGTTAATATCATTCCAACTGCCATTACGAAAGTAATTAGTATTTTTGATATTAAAAGATATTTTGGTCCGGTAATTATTCCAAAGAATATTATCAATTCGGCAAAAAAACCACTCATGCCCGGTAATGCGAGCGAAGCTAGTGATAAGATACTGAACATCGTAAATATCTTTGGCATTGGGGCCGCCAGCCCCCCCATTTCGTCAAGGTAGGCGAGACGTATTCTATCATAACCCGTTCCCGCTAAGAAAAAAAGTGCAGCGCCAATAAATCCATGCGATACTATTTGTAAAACGGCCCCATTGAGGCCCATATCGCTTATAGAGCTAATTCCTATAATTAGGAAACCCATATGAGACACAGATGAATAGGCTATTCTCTTTTTTAAATTTCGTTGACCAGGAGATGTTGAAGCTGCATAGATTATTTGGATTGCGCCTACTATTATTAAGTAGGGGGAAAATATAGAATGTGCGCGGGGCAATAATTCCATATTGATTCGAATCAATCCATACGCTCCCATTTTTAATAAGATTCCTGCTAGAAGCATACAAGTACTGTAATGCGCTTCTCCATGGGTGTCTGGTAACCATGTATGAAAGGGTATAATCGGCAATTTGACAGCAAAAGCAATAAGAAATACAATATAGAATAATATTTCCAGAGCCGCAGGATATGATTGATTGGCTGATGTTTCAAAATTAAATGTTGGCTGATTGGAACCATATAAAGCGATACCCAAAGCTCCTATTAATAAAAAAATGGAACTTCCTGCAGTATATAAAATAAACTTTGTAGCGGAATACAGACGTTTTTTTCCTCCCCACATAGATAGAAGTACATAAACAGGAATTAATTCTAACTCCCACATAATGAAAAAAAGTAAAAGATCTTGAGAAGAAAATAATCCTATTTGACCGCTATACATTGCTAACATCAGAAAATGAAATAATCGGGAATCCCGAGTAACCGGCCAAGCGGCTAAAGTAGCCAAAGTCGTGATAAATCCTGTCAATAAAATCGGTGCTATAGAAAGTCCATCTATTCCCAATCTCCAGTAAAAATCAAAAAATTGGATCCATTTATAATTTTCTGTTAATTGGCTTAATGGATCGTTCAATTGGAAATAATAAACAAATGCATAGGTCATTAAAAGAAATTCTAAGATACATATATATAAAGTATACCACCTAATTACCTTATTTCCTTTATGAGGGAAAAGGAAAATTAAGGAACCCGCGGATATCGGTAAAACTACGAATATTGTTAACCAAGGAAAAGAATTCGTGGTAAAGACAAGATACACTTAGCCCAGAAAACCCGTGCTCGAAAGAATATAGATTCTGGTTTCGAGCACAGGTTTTTGTCGGTAAACAAAAAATGAAATATCTTCAAGTGGGTTTTTCTGGAAATTCTTAATAAGCTAGACCCATGCTTCGGGTTGTTTCATGCCATAAATAAACTCGAACACTCAAGAAATCCGTCGGGCAGGCGGACTCACATCTCTTACAACCGACACAGTCCTCTGTTCGTGGAGCCGAAGCAATTTGCTTCGCTTTACATCCGTCCCAAGGTATCATTTCTAATACATCTGTGGGGCAGGCCCGGACACATTGAGTACACCCTATACATGTATCATAAATCTTTACTGAGTGTGACATTGGATCTCTAATTTTTTTTTGAATGCCATCAATTTTCGATCTAGTAGATTTCTAAATGAATCATGTTGGGGGTATCACAAGGCCAGTTAGGGATATGGGCTCCCAGACAAAGGAATGGGGGGGGGGGGGCAAAGCCCAAGAAGGGGCCCTAGAAAAGGCCTCATGGCCCAAATAAGTGGAAGGGCGCATGAAGACAAAACGCTAAAGGCCAAAGGAATCCAGGCTGGCTGGTGGTCCATTACCTGGGGGCGCCTGTCATGTGTCAGGAGCCTGACAAGGTGGTTGGGGTGCCTGACAAGGGGAGTACGAAGCATTAAATGAGCGCAGTGACGTGGAGGAGATCAACCTCGAGTTTGGTGAGTATAAATAGAGGCAGTTGGTACCATTTACACAGGTTGGACTCTCTCACCTAAATTTCTACATAAGAGCACTTCTCTCTCTAAGGGAACTAACTTGGGCGTCGGAGGATTAACGGGCTCAGGCGCCCTCCTCTTTGTGTGTGTAGGCAGGCGTCGGGAGGAAGGAGGATCCCAGTAACACGTGGCGGGTATCGTGGCACAAACAATTGGCGCGCCAGGAAGGGGAATATAACCAGAAATCATGAGTGAGGAGGCAGCGTTAAATGAGGAGATTGACGGAGAGGAAATTACGGAGGACCAATCGGAGCGATTAAGGGGGCTGGCGCCCGAGATGGAAGAAGGAGGGGAGAGCGACGACATGTTTCGGGGATCGGAAGGCGCCTCGATGACAAAGAGAGAACTATTCAGGATCATCGAAGACCAAGATGGAGCAATCGAGGCGCTTCGGAGAGAGGTCGACGCCCTGAAGAGGGGTGGAGGGATGACGCCCAGCCCAACGAAGAAAAGGGAGAGGGTGGCGGAGACGGAAAGTGAGTCGGGATACCAGAGGCGCCCCAGCTCGTGGCGCCCGCGAGAGTATGACGGGCCAGAAACAGGAGGATGGAATGGGGGAGTTTTGGGGCGCCTGTCTCGTCATGGACCCGTGAGACAACCTCTAGCGCGTAACATACTAACGGAGCCAGCGGGAACCAACATTCCCCCACTCCCCACCTACGATGGGACCGCTGATCCGGAGGACCACCTCAACGGTTACTTTACCAAGATGCAGCTTTACAACAGCACGGACGCCACACTGTGTAAGGTGTTCCCGTCAACTTTCGCGGGCGTGGTCCTCGATTGGTATTATCAGATTGAAGAAGGGCGCATTGAGTGCTTCGAGCAGTTTGCGGAGATGTTTCTCGCGAAGTTCGCTAGCAGGAAACGTCGCACCCTGACCATAGGCGCCCTGTTCAAGATCAAGCAAAGAGATGGAGAGGCGTTGAGGGAGTTCTATGAAAGGTGGTTGTCTGTGGCCTTGGCGGTGAAGGATGCGCAGCCGTCAGTGTTAGGGGTGTGTCTCAATGAATGCACCACCAGAGAGGAGTTGTGCAGATCGCTGGCGAAAAGAGATGTGGTGTGCACTGAAGATCTGGATCGCAGAGTGCAGAAGGTAATCATGCTCGAAGAAAATTTGGCGGCCAGAAGAGTCGACAGACGAAAGGCGAAGGGAGAAGAGGCGGAGACGACAAGGAGACCGCACTTTGCGAGCGGGTCAGGCTCTGCGCCCACAAACACCCTCCCTCCCAGGAGGATGGACGCCGGACGCCCGGCGCCCAGGGGGCCCTTTGCCGAGTATAATGATACGCTGAAAAACGTGCTTCAACATGTCAAAGAAAAGGGGTATCATATCAGGTGGCCGGGCCCCATGAGAGGACAGCCCAACGAGCGAAACCTAGATCGATATTGCGACTTCCACCGAGAAGTAAGGCACCATACAGCCGACTGTTATCAACTGAAAACCGAGTTGCAAGGCTTGGCTGACAGGGGGATGCTTAATGACTTCGTCAAGAAGCCCGATGAAAGAATACACAGGGCCTGCGTGGCCGGTGCGGAAAGAGAAAGAGAGGGGCTACCACCCCCGCCATACGAGCTCGATCAGGAAAACGCGCCCGGACGGGTGCGCCTGACTATAAAGGCGATTTCGGGGACGATGGACTTAAGAGAGAAAATAGAGGCAAATCGCCGCGTAAGGGCAACTTCGGCGGATGTTCAGGAGGCGATAGACATCAGCTTCAATAGGGCGCCAGAGGAAGCCTGCATGATCCCATCCATGGACGCCCTGGAAATTCAAGGAGTGGTGGCGGGGTGCCGAGTCCGGAGAATGCTTGTGGACACGGGAAGTTCGATGGATGTGTTGTTCAAGGACACGGTGGCCCGCATGCAACTATCTCCGAAACTCATCAGGCCGTCCGAGTCGGTGCTTGTTGGTTTTTCGGGTGCGCCCGCAAGGGTAATAGGGCGAGTGCGCCTGCCAGTTACTCTGGGGGATGGGGAGCAAAGGGTAACGCGAGCCATCGATTTTGGAATAGTGGACTGCCCGTCACCATACAACGCAATTCTAGGGAGACCACTCTTGGCCTTATTTAATGGTGTGGCCTCTACTTGCCATCAAACGCTGAAGTTCATCGCGCCACAAGGGGTAGGGGTAGCACGGGGGCAGGGCGCCCCGCGTTACGCGAAAGAAACGGGACGAAATCAGAGATGTTCTGAAGCGGTGAACGCGATGGAAATCGCGACAGAAGAGGCGCCCCGAGCCGAAGCGGCCGATAGGGAACTTATGGTGGCACTAGATGAAGAACGCCCGGAAAGACAAGTGAGGATATCGGCGGAGGCGCCCGACGAAATGAGAGAACGCATTGTCGCCCTGCTGAAGGAGTTCGCGGAACTCTTCGCCTGGAGCGCCTTGGAAATGCCGGGAGTCACCCCCGAAACGGCCGTGCATCGACTGGAGGTCGAAGAAGGTAAGCGCCCCGTACAACAGAAACGGAGAAACTTGTCGGCGGAAAAGGAGGCGGCGCTTAGGAGCGAAGTGGATAAGCTCATGGGCGCCAATTTGGTTGAAGAAACATCCTATGTCACATGGCTATCGAATGTGGTTTTTGTGCCAAAACCGTAGGGGGACTGGAGAATGTGTGTAGATTACACAAGCCTCAACAGAGCGTGCCCAACGGACGCCTATCCAATGCCCCGAATAGACCAACTGGTGGATGCCACGGCGTATCATGAGATGCTGAGCTTCGTGGACATGTTCTCGGGATACCACCAGATCCCGATGGCAGAGGAGGATCGGCCCAAAACAGCCTTCATGACACCCTTCGGAAACTTTTGCTATCGGGTCATGGCATTTGGGCTCAAAAACGCAGGCGCCACGTATCAGAGGATGGTCAACAAGGTCTTCCGCCAGCAAATCGGTCGAAATGTGGAAGCCTACGTAGACGACTTGATTGTCAAAAGTCGAAGGCGCGAAGACCACCTTGACGACTTGAGGGAAACGTTCCAGGCCATGCGGGCGCACAGGCTTCGCCTCAACCCACTTAAGTGTGTGTTTGGCGCCGAGGCAGGCAAGTTCCTGGGGTTCATGATAACTAAGCGAGGCATTGAGGCCAACCCGAAGCAGGTGAACGCTGTTCTTCAACTAGCCCCACCGAAGGCGCCCAAAGAGGTACAAGGTCTGGCAGGAAGGTTAGCGGCCCTGGGACGCTTCATTCCCCGTTCGGCGGACAAAGTCGCCCCTTTCTTTCGGACGCTCAAAAAGGCGGTACGCTTCCAGTGGACTGCCGAGTGCGACGCAGCATTTGAGGAGCTGAAGCAACTCCTAGCTGCCCCAACGGTGATGACGGCGCCCAAGGTGGGCAAAACATTGTATCTCTATATTGCTGTGTCAGAAGTTTCGGTAAGCGCAGTGCTTGTCTCAAAGGAAGCCCACTCAGGAGAAGAAAGGCCGGTGTATTATGTCAGCTCACCATGGTTGTCCACGAAAGGCGGTATGCGCCCATAGAGAAAGCTGCTTTGGCGGTTGTGATGGCGGCGACCAAGCTAAGACCATACTTCCAGGCGCACATCATCGTGGTGTTGACCAATTTGCCGCTGAAATCTACTTTGGGATCGATGGATGTGGCCGGACGCCTAGTCAAATGGGCGGTGCAGCTGAGTGAGTTTGACATTAGATATGCACCCCAACCAGCGATAAAAGCACAGGTCTTGGCTGATTTCATTGCTGAAGGGGTCACAGAATCAGAGAGGGGCACGAATGATTGTTGGCAAGTGCAGGTGGATGGAGCTGCCAGTCGTACGGGCGCAGGAGCAGGCATAGTGATGATAAGTCCAGGCGGTGCGATGCACGAAGTTGCGTTGCGATTCGCAAAGCTGAAAACAAACAATGCCGCCGAGTATGAAGCGGTTATCGCTGGCATGAGTATGGTCAAGGAATTAGGCGCCCAAAGGGTACAAATCAGATCCGACTCGGCCCTTGTGGTCAATCAACTTAATGGCGTCTTTGAAGTTAAGGAGGAGGCACTGGAGGGGTACGTGAGAAGGGTGCGAGAGCTGGGAGCATGGTTCGGGGAAATCTCTTTCGTGCACGTCCCACGGGAAGAAAATTCCCATGCTGACGCCTTATCCAAGCTAGCAACGACAGTAGATTTCGAGAAGGAGCGAAAGGTCATAGTCACCTCCGAGGCACCTCGTGAACACTTGGTCGCTACTCTAACCGGTGGAGACGTCGGGTCCGGATGGATGGCACCCATCGTCTTGTTCCTAACCCAAGGCGTGGTGCCGGACGATCAGAAGGAAGCTTGGCGCCTCCGCCGCAAGGCGGCCAGATGCTCCATAATCGAGGGACAGCTGTACAAACGATCTCATACAGGAGCTTATTTAAGGTGCCTGAACGAGGAGGAAAGCAGGGGGCAATTGAGGAGGTACATGGGGGCACCTGTGGCATGCACGCGGACGCCCGAAGTCTGGAAAAAACATTGCTGCGGCAGGGGTTTTACTGGCCGACGATGAGGCGAGATGCGAAGGCGCATGTGGGCGCCTGTCACCAGTGCCAAATCCATGCAAATGACATTCACATCCCGGCGGCGCCCATGCAAGGCAATATAGGAGCCTGGCCATTCGCCCAGTGGGGCATGGACCTTTTGGGCCCTTTTCCCAAGGCGCCCGGTCAAATGAAGTACTTGATAGTAGCGGTCGACTACTTCTCCAAGTGGATAGAGGCGGAACCTTTGGCCACAGTCACCGAGGCCCAGGTGCGCAAGTTCACAAGGAAGAACATATTCACCCGGTTTGGCCTGCCTGAATCCATCGTCACGGATCATGGAAAGCAGTTTGATTGCAAAAAATTCATAGAATTTTGTGACGACAATGGGGTTGTGTTGCGGTTCTCGTCGGTGGCCTACCCACAAGCAAATGGTCAGGCAGAGGCAGCCAACAAAAGCATTCTTCATGGCTTACACACACGACTGACAGGCTCCAAGGGGAGATGGGTGGAAGAACTGCCAAGTGTGCTGTGGGCGCACCGCACTACCTACAAAACTGCCACAGGAGAAACGCCCTTTGCTCTCACCTACGGGAGCGAGGCAGTCATTCCGGTGGAACTCAACACCCCAAGTTATCGTGTTTCCCAGTACGACCCAAATGACAATGACGAGGCACGATCGACTGACTTAGACATGGTAGACGAGATGAGGGAGGTAGCGGCGATCCGCCTGGAAAAAACGAAGAGGCAGGTGGCCCGGTACTACAACAAAAAGATGCGTGCCCATGGGATCACAGAAGGCGCCCTGGTCCTTAAACGCGACTTCCGCCCCGACACCTGCGAAGGAAAGTTAGCACCAAAATGGAAAGGCCCATATCGAGTCCGGGAGATGGTAGGACCCAGTACGTTTAAATTGGAACATACTGATGATCGAGCAGTGAAAAGGACATGGAATGCGCAAAACCTGCGATCTTACTCGGCGGGCGCCGCATCCGGAGAAGACGCCTCGATGTGAGAAGTGAGGAAGATGGAATTCTGAAAGTGTTTATTTTGTTTTAAGTCAAGTAGGTGGGTGTGTTTGTGTTGTGACTAAAGCGCCCGAAAATAGCGCCATATTGTGACTAAAGCGCCCATTCTATAGCGCCCCAATAGTGATTTGGTGATTGGTTTAATTGTTTCGTGTGACACAAAAGCGCCCTAACATCGCGCCCGGCAATACCAAGTTAATTAAAGCGCCACGTTTCGCGCCCATCTTCTGCAAAAGCGCCCGAACCTTGCGCCCTCACACGAAACAAGTAATGCGCCCAACTTCGCGCCCGATAAAAATAAAATAAGTCACGTAAAAGGTAAAAATGATGCTTTTATAAAACAGACGAGGTTCGAAAGAAGGATACAAATAGTGCAACAGTCAAAAGATAAAAACAAAAAACAAGGCGCCTTAACTCTACTCCGCCCCTGAGTTGGCATCTTCGACACCGGGCGCCTTCTGGGTTGGAGAGGCTGGCACGGACATCTCGGGCGCCCCTTCCGTACCCCGGGGGGTCTCCAGGCCCCCAATCACATACTCGGCCATCTCAGTGAGATCCCAAGTGTGGTCGGGATGATCCTCCTGTAGCTTCACTTTCAGGATCTCAAGGCCGGTTAAGATGGCATTGGCGCACATCCCCTTGCCAGCTTCAGACTCCTCGAAGTTGTCCAAGGAACGCCGCAGATCAGAAATTTCTTTCCGAGCCGCTTTCAAGGATTTCTTGGTCTCCTTGTGAGCGTCCTTCAACATCTTCTTCTCCTCTTTGAGGATGTCAATCTCGCTGGCTTGGGCGCCCGCCTCCTGTGCCAGCGCCTCCTTCTCAGCTTGCAGGTCAGCCACCTTCTTGCGCTCCTCATCCAGGGCGCCCTGCAGCCGCGACACCTCCATGGCCGCGTTCATCTGGGCCTCCTCACACTCCTTCGCAAACTGCTCGCGGCGTGCAGTTGCGTTCTCCATATCTAACTTCATTTGGGAAGCAGAAGAGGAGGCCTCCAGCGCCTCTCGCTTTGTCTCATTGAGGCGTCGGGCGCCCCTCTCGGCGAAAAGGAGGATCTACATGATTTAAGCAAGAAAAGTCAAAAAATGGTACAAGTGATAAGAGGCATCCCCACAATCACAAAACAACACAAGGAGGGAGATCATTTACCTTGGCGCCTACTTGGGCCAATTCAGCGAAGAGGTGATCCCCGTTCACCTCGGACGGCACCTGCCATGACTTGGCGGCCGCAATCGCCAAGCCTATGGCACAACCTCGGTCGACGGCGACCAAGGGAGAGCAGTTCAGGTTGACACGCCCAACCTCGGTGCGGCGTGGCCGGAAGATGGGAGGACGCCCATCGGGGCCAACATAGCGCCCCTCTTCGTTGAGGTGTACGCGGGCGTCCTCCCCCGCTTCCTCTTCCACTTCCACCTCGTCGTAGGCGTCAGCGTCGGCGCCCGCCTTCCCCTTTCCTCTGTCAGCCCGTTTGCTGGCAGAGGCTAAGGGGGAACCAGCTCTCTTCCCCCGGTGGATCAGTGGCTCCTCTTCCTCTTCCTCAGCGGAGTTAACTTCTTGCTCCGCTGGGTGATCTGCTGGATCGAAGTCGGGCGCCTCCTCATCCGCCTCCGGGGCGGAAGACGCCACACTGGCAGTCTTCGCGCGTTGAGTGCCCCCCTTCACAACCCTCTTCTTTCTTTTCTTCTGAGGAGCTGGTGGCGCCTGTGATTGGTCGGCCGCCGGTTCAGACGCCTCTCGGCGAACAGGCGGGGGTGAACCGCCCGCCATCGCAGCAAGCCGACTCTTCATCAGCTTTGCGATACTTGAGTAGTCCGCCCCTACACAATGGAAAGAACATGGTTAGGCAGAACACAAAGGAAACACTACATCAAAAGCAAGTAAATCCTAGGCGCCTACAAACCATCATTATAGTACGCCTGGATTATGGGAGGGCGATTCTCCGCAGGACGCAAGTCCACGCTTTCCCCCGCACAAATGAGGCGGGCGCCATCTTTCTTCGCCCGAGTCAGCGTCACGGGCGAGTTGAATTGCTCAACGCTGCCCAACTCCCACTGCCTAAGAAAGGCGCCCCCACTCTCATAAAACGAATCTTGGTACGCCTTCATAAAAAAGAAGCCGTTGAACCATTTGCGGTTAAGCTTGGGGCATCGTTTCACGAAGTGGTTCGGGCGCTTCTTCCGCTTCTGAAGCGATAAGCAGTTGTCGAGGGGCGCCATCTTGAAAAAGTACCTAAACAGGTTGAAGGTGGGCTCCACGTTATTTTCCCGACACCTCAACTTGAAGAGGATCACGATGGTAATGACGGAGGGGGATAGGCGCCCCAACGAACAGCCGCAGGTCGTCAGAATCCCCTCCATGATGTGGTCGAGGGGGAAGTGCAGCCCAAAGCGGAAGTACTCCTGGTAAACCCCGATCCACTTGGGCCCACAGACGCCCACTCGCGAGATAGGAGAAGGAGGCGCATACCACCAGTCCCGCGGCAGTTGCAGACTCGTGACGAGTTCGTGGACGCGCGCCAAGGTGACTGATGACTGATGATCCGGGGGGAAGCACTTCTCCCATGTTGAGATTTTGTAAGACCCATCCGCTGGCAAAAATCCCGGCGCCGATGAGGTGGACGGTCCGGCTGATGTTGACGCAGGCGCCCCCTCTAAACCAACAAATGATCCAGGCGCAACGGCGACGCAGGGTAAGTGACGCCCTATCCTAAGTAACTAGAAGTAACTAAACAAAGTTGAAGAAAGACAAAGGACTCCTTACCGCCTTGAGTCGGGCGCCCTGCCCTGCCACCGACGCCTGAGGCGCCTGTGCCGGAAGCACCAGCACCAGACGCGCCTGCACCCTGGGCGCCTTGGCCGGAAGTTTTGTCTTTTGGTGAAGACGACATCTTGGACGAATATGTGAGAAGAGGCTGACGCAAGCAAGGTCTGACAAGAGAGAGGGCAGAGCGAAGTTTAGAGAGATGTCAGAGCAAAATCTAGAGAGAAGTCAAATGGAAGAAAGTGACAAGAACGGCGGGAGGAGGGAGTATTTATAGAAGGCGAAAAGTCCAGGTCAGGAGTCGCGCCGACACACCACGTGTCCGTATCACGGGACGACTTTTGAGCTTCCCCCACTTTTCCCTCTCTGTAACGTTCGAGATTTTCCATTTCGAATTTTCCCGCCACGAGAAATGTGGGGTTCGCTTCAAAACTCTCCCCGTGAGGGGGGCATAAGGACTAGGGACGCCCAAGCGAAGAATGCTATGAAGAGGCGTCCACGTAACACAAAGAAAAGAAAAACACATATAGCAAGGAGCACCATCGAGGACAGGACGCCCGCCAAGTAAGGAATTGGAGCAGCGCCTCCGAACCATGCAAAAAGTAGAAGTGTAACAAAGGGCGCCCAACAGTGGGCGTCCTGCAACAAAAGGAACACCAAAACACACCAAGAAGGTCAGTCAGGCGCTCAAAGGCGAAGCCATGAGCACCTAACTGGGGGGCAATTGTTGGGGGTATCACAAGGCCAGTTAGGGATATGGGCTCCCAGACAAAGGAATGGGGGGTCAAAGCCCAAGAAGGGGCCCTGGAAAAGGCCTCATGGCCCAAATAAGTGGAAGGGCACATGAAGACAAAACGCTAAAGGCCAAAGGAATCCAGGCTGGCTGGTGGTCCATTACCTGGGGGCGCCTGTCATGTGTCAGGAGCCTGACAAGGTGGTTGGGGTGCCTGACAAGGGGAGTACGAAGCATTAAATGAGCGCAGTGACGTGGAGGAGATCAACCTCGAGTTTGGTGAGTATAAATAGAGGCAGTTGGTAGCATTTACACAGGTTGGACTCTCTCACCTAAATTTCTACATAAGAGCACTTCTCTCTCTAAGGGAACTAACTTGGGCGTCGGAGGATTAACGGGCTCAGGCGCCCTCCTCTTTGTGTGTGTAGGCAGGCGTCGGGAGGAAGGAGGATCCCAGTAACACGCGGCGGGTATCGTGACACAAACAAATCCTATATTTACACACTAGATGAAGCAATAATTTAGCAGAATCTTTCTATTCAATTCCGAATTAACTCATGAGATAGACTTGAATTTCTTATATTTTTGGAAACATGATCACATAGCTTATATATCATACATGCCACTTCAAATTGATGAATATCATATTTTATATGATTAGTACTACTTATTCAACAAATTCGATTGATTGATACGGGTAGATTTTCTGTTACGATAAATTGACGAAACAATAGCCAGTCCAATAGCTGCTTCGGCGGCTGCAATAGCTATAACAAAAATTGAGAAAATATTTCCTTTTAATTGGCGATTATCAAAAAAATCAGAAAATGTTATGAAATTTATATTAACTGCATTCAATAGAAGTTCAAGACACATAAGGGCCCTAACCATATTTCGACTCGTGACCAATCCATAGATACCAATAGAAAATAAATAGGCACTCAAAACAAGTACATGTTCGAGCATTATCCACCAACTCCTTATCTATTTCGGTTTATTTCAATATGAACAAAAATTGAACGGCAACTAGGCAACTAATTGGGTTAATAATATTGAAAATGTAGAACAAAGAAATATATTCGTACTAGATCTACTAAAAGAATTTATACAGAAAAAATTTTCAAATAGAATTGAAAGAAAATGAATGTAATAACTTAGAAAAAAAAATGGTTGATTGCTAATTCTATAAATTCCCTACTGACGAGCCACAGCAATCGCACCTATCAAAGCAACTAGCAGAATTATTGAAATGAATTCAAATGGAAGAAAAAAATCTGTTGACAAATGAATTCCAATTTGTTGACCATTGCTTGTCAAATCTTGCTCTAGAATCTGGTTTGTTCTTGTAGTCCAAATAATCGCATACCAGGACGTATCCGAAATAATAGTAATTAGCGAAATAAAAATACTTGTACAAATTAAGGAAGTAATCCCGTCCCCAACAGTCCAAAGGTTCCAATCGTTGGAATATTCTGAACCATTCATGAACATCACAGCAAATAGAATTAAAACATTTATAGCTCCCACATAAATAAGGAGTTGTGCAGCAGCTACAAAGTGAGAGTTTGATAAAATATAGAATAAGGATATACAAACAAGAACCAATCCCAAAGAAAAGGCAGAATAAATTGGGTTGGTAAGTAATACCACTCCTAGACCTCCTAATATAAGAACTAATCCTAGAGAGACTAAAAGAAAATCATGTATTGAGCCCGGCAAATCCATTGCACGTTAAAATACGCGATCAAAAAATCGAGTTATTTTTTCATAATTTTATTGATCCGACCAGGAACAACTTTTTTCTAATTGGTTTCGATTTGAATTAAACTCCGACGGATGTAAATTACAGTAGCTAGAACTATTAGATGAATTTCCTTCTTAATAAAAAAAAATTCAACATCCGAAATTTCAATTTCGAAAGAATATACATAGAATTCATACTTACGTCTATAATCTATTTTGAATTCAAAACATAGGATTCTTCCCAATAAATTAAAATAATGGTTGGGATTTCTAGTTTTTGTAATTATTGACCAGGAAAAATGAAACAAACTCTATTCGCCCCCTTCTAGTTATAGATCCAATTAAAATGGAATTGGAATTTATCAAAAAACTTTAACTAATTTTGTTCGGTGAATTCAAAATTGTTCGAATTGTATAATCGTCAATTACTGGCATCGGTAAACGCCCTAAAGCGATTTGATTATAATTCAATTCGTGACGATCATAAGTAGAAAGCTCATATTCTTCGGTCATTGATAAGCAATTCGTTGGACAATACTCAACGCAATTTCCACAAAAAATACAGATTCCAAAATCAATACTGTAATTAAGTAACCGTTTCTTTCGAATGTCAGTTTCTAGATTCCAATCAACAACGGGTAAATTTATAGGGCATACACGAACACATACTTCACAAGCAATGCATTTATCAAATTCAAAGTGGATTCGGCCCCGGAAACGCTCAGCTGTAATTAATTTTTCATAAGGATATTGAATAGTTACAGGTAAACGATTTGCGTGAGATAAGGTAATCATGAAACTTTGACCAATGTATCTTGCAGCTCGGATGGTTTGTTGACCATAATTCATGAACCCGGTTATCATGGGGAACATATCTGTAATATCAATGAATAATTTTCTTTCTCTTGTTTGAGATAAGTCGTGAATGTCAAAAAGTATTCCTTTTTTTCTTTTTATAGTGAAAGGAGTTGGGAAGAGGTTGTTAATAATAGATTACCGAGAGAGATAGGTAAAAGAAATTTCCATCCAAGATTTAATAGTTGATCCATTCTTAGTCTAGGTAAAGTCCATCTTGTTGTGATAGAGATGAACAAGAACAAATAAGTTTTAACCAATGTACTAAAGATACCAATTGTTATTCCAAAGACTCTACCCACGTTATTTATTTCCAAAAATTCAGTCATGAATATGTACGGAATAAAGATATTCCAACCGCCCAAGTAAAGAACTGTTACAAATAATGAAGAAACTAATAAGTTTAGATAGGAAGCAACATAAAATAAACCAAATTTGATACCCGAGTATTCCGTTTGATAACCTGCTACTAATTCTTCTTCTGCTTCTGGTAAATCAAAAGGCAATCTCTCGCATTCTGCTAGGGAAGAGATTAAAAAAATGATAAATCCTATAGGTTGACGCCACAAATTCCAACCCCAAAAATCATATTTTGATTGTGCCTCAACTATATCAACTGTACTTGAACTGTTAGATAATCATAGTCGGTGATAATATCACTATTCCCATCGCTATTACAGAACCGTACATGAGATTTTCACCTCATACGGCTCCTAGAAGGCCATAAAAAAATATAAATCGGATCAGATTCTTTTTCTTTATCTTGTATCTTGATCTGTTTGTACGATAGATAGGAAAAAATCTATCGGACATTCCAAAATTCGACCAATGAAATTCTGTCGGTTAGAATAACTTCTGAATTGATCTCATCCTCTAAGATAAGAATTTCATTGTAATATGTTTTTCTTTCTTGAGTAATAACTTAAATCCTTCAATAAAATACTCCTTGTAGCAATATCAATAGCTATCTCAACTTATGGTTTTCACGTACCAAATTTTTTTTTGATTGCATTAATTCATAAATTATGACACGAGTTTGATCTCTATCAATATAAATAAGCTAAGCTAACAAAGAAGATATAAGATATAGGGAAGAAGAAAAAAATCTCTTTTTTCCTTCCTATACTTCTTTCTGGAAAAAAAAAAGAAAGGATTATTTCGTTCCTGATAGTTATTTCTTTAATCGGTGGGTGGGAGCAATAATTCACTAGAATGTAAGAAGAAAAGTACGAAGAAAAGTACGACAATAATTCACTAGAATGAAGAACATTAATTAAAATAACACAATGTCATGAAAATATTATATTTATATGTTGAATATAAAATGTGTTAGAGAAAAATAATGGTTATTTCTAGATAAAATACATATGCATGTGTTTAATCGGGCGGGTTCGGATTGGATAGTGAAAACCCCATGTCCACCCATTACCCACAAGATTCGGGTTCGAGTTTTACCCGTACCCACTAAATGTCCTTCGGGTTCGGGTTTTACCCTACCTGATAAGCCCGAATTTGGGCGGATATCCACGGTTACGGATATTTTTGCCATCCCTACGCTCGAGAATATATTAGCACCTTTTGATATCGAGTTTTGTTTGTGAAGATACTGTAGTGTAGCAACTTTTCCAAACAACTAGCTAGATGTTTTGTTTGGATGTGTGAAAGCCTGAAAGTATTACCTTATTAGAATCATGGTAAAGGAAATCGGATCGTACCGGCCGGTTCAACCTGTAAAACCGGGAATCGGGCCAATGACGAAACGGTACCCCTACCAGTCCTTTTCTACCTTGTCGGTCGGTATAATCGACGTAACCGGCATATTTCGGTATTCCGCCCGGTTTAAATCAGACCGGCGGTAAGGAAATTTTTTGCTAAACGTCGCCGTTTGAAGAAGACAAAATTGAAAAAAAAAAAATTTAATGGACACTGCTAACCCTAATCGATCTTCGGCCTTCAATCTCCATATTTCACTTCGCATGCCGCTCCTCCTTTCTCCATCCAGACCAGACGCCGCCTGCCTGCTCTGCCAGTCTGCCTGCTCCATCGCTGCGCCGTGCCGCTGCGCCGTCGCTCTTCTTATCTTCTCCTCTGGAGAGTGGAGAGTGGCGACTGGAGACCCACGAGGCACGATTGGAGAGATCAATTAGGGACTGCCTTTGATTTGGCTTTGAGCGCGGGGGTGGGAGTGAGATTGGGTTTGCATTTTGCAATCGGCAGTTTGGTCATGGTGACGATATGTGAGAGAAAGAGAGAGAGAGAGGAAGAACGAAAGATGGGGAAAGGGTGGAGGATCAGTAACCTATGATGGGAAAGTTTTTTATAAAAAATAATTATTATTTAAAATTTCTTCCTTTTCTATTAATTTGCTAACTACTTGTATTTTTTTCATTTATTGTCCGGTATTATCCCGATACATCCGGTATTACTCCGAGACGGTACTCTGATTTTGCCGACACGGTTTTTTGACAAAAAATATATTTTATTATTACAAAAACGGTATTTACCGGTACGAAACGGTTGAACCACGGTCGTACCACAAAATACCCTACTAGAAAGGAATTCGGTATGATGTCCGGTAGGGTTTCCTTTACCATGATTAGAATCTGCTTTCTTAGATTTCTTGAGAAACAGAGAAAATGTGTTTCCAAACACGGTTGAAAATAGAAAGCCCAAACACGGCCCAACCCTTGGATGGCAAGCCAATATTCTACGTCCCTGAAACTTGAACTGAAGAGAATAAATTAAGGGGTCGTTTGGAAGTTGCGATTGTTAAATAAATGTATTGTTAAGAATGCATGTATAATATTATACATGTATTGTCGAATTTGATGCATTGTAGAATACAACGTTTGGTATGTGTGATTGTGTATGTCGCATTAGCTAAAAGCTGAGACAAAATAATCTCAACTCAACTATCTCAACAATCACAACTAAAAGTTGAGATATAACAATCACTCAAAATGAGTGATAGTTTCTGTCACATCACAGAAACAATCCATGTATTGTTTCTGTTAAAAAAACAAAAAAATGATGCATTGTAAACAATACATGCATAATGACAATCTCAACAAAACAATCGCAACTTCCAAATGACCCCTAGGCGACGGACCTGGTCCAATGCCGTTTAACTAAGGAATTGGGGATTAACTAATACCAGAAAGAGCGGGGTATTAGGGATTTGGATCGGCACTACGATGGAATCATTTCTTTTCAGGCGAGGCGTATCATGGAAGATGTTGATGTGATTTAAATCGGATTATCAGCTTCTACAACTGAAAGTCATGGGGTATGAGCTCAATATTATTTTGCGTTCGGGTTCTGGACCTGGTTGTAACCTCTTTTCATTTACCAGATTGGAATAGAATTAGACCTAGGAGAAGTACTATAAATAAATCCCATACTCCTCTGTATTATGTATCTACTCGAAGTATAGTGAAAACTGACTCTCTCTTGCCTGTGGACTAGCTCTAACACACATTGTGTTAGTGAACCACGTAAATCGTGTGTCTATTTTCGATTCTCGTTTTCGTATTATTGTTTTCTCGATTCCAACAATTTTCCGATCAGTAGCAGCACAATTATAATAGAAGCTATAGCTGGTTGGTTCAGGGCAGCAGCAACTCCCTGCATCAATCACCAACTGGTAACTAATAACTTCCGCTCGTAGGCTTGGCAACGGGGCGGATCGGGGACGGGTAGCTAGTTCCTGTTACCCATCCGTCAAGGCCAACGGATTTCCCCGTCCCCGTCCCTTTGTCGGGGCGCGTTTGGTTTCCGTCACCGTCCCCAGACGGGTTCGGGTAAACCACGGATCCTGAGAAAAATAAAAAAAAAGGAAAAAACTAACAAAAAATCCCTGAAATTCAAACTTCAAAGTACCTTGATGTTCAAGGCACATAAATTCAAAACACAAAAGGAAGATCTGGGGCTGTAACCCTCCCACCACCCAACACCCAGATCTTCATTGTTCAAACAATGAAACAAAAGTGATAGGTTGCAGCAACCAAAGAAGCTGCTGCAACCAAAATCCACCACCCAAAACCCATATAACATATTCTTCACTACACTAGTGTTCAAGTTCAAAAGGAAGAGATACAAAAACAAAGGCAGACAACCCCAATAACATCATCCATAAATTGAACTAAAACCAATACTAATAGCACACACGAGTTCCTTTGATCTTTTCTTCCAAAAAGCAAGCAACACTATGCTGCTGGAAACCAACTCAACAGCAGCATTCATCCTTGAAAAATGAAAAGCAATCACTGCAAGAAACAGAGTAGCAAACACAGTTAGATAAGTGAAAGTCACTCTTAAATTGAACAAGTTAAAAAGCCTCAAGTCTGGCTCAATACCTTGAACCTTTCATTGCTTTCAACAAATCAGTCGTCTAGGGATATTAGATGCTTCTTCATCACAAGTCCCCCTTGAACTGCAAGAATAAAAAAATACAGTTAGAGATTGAAACTATCAAACTAAGTACCAATCTAAATTGAACTAATTACAAAGAAGCCAAAATCGAGAACCAACTATCTTACCAGCTTCGTCTTGATCTTCAGTACTGGAATCTGAAATTGCTAGAGCAGAGAACACCCCTTCCATTGCCTCTACAGCAGCCTTCGATGATTCTGCAGATTGAAGAAAACAATGAAAAAGACAATTAATATTCAATCCAGTTAACATTTTAATGAAAAAGACAAGTAATTGCAGATTACCTTGTTGCATTTCCTCCATAATCCAACTTCTGGTACACATCATTGCCTCTATTGTATCATAGTGCAATCTACTCCGATGAGGGTCTATTAACCTCCCACCAGAGCTAAAAGCAGATTCAGAAGCCACTGATGTAATTGGTATGGCCAAGAAATCCCTTGCAATTGCTTGCAAAGTGGGGTACTTAAGGCCATTCAGTTTCCACCACATCAGTATATCAAAGTCAGGAGACCTTTTAGGAATCAGTTCCTCAAGAAGATAGTGATCCAGTTCAGTATGGACCAGAGTTGCTTTGCTTTTTTTCCTCCGACTCACAAACAGTTCAAAATCAAGATCATCATTTGTAGGAGTAGAAGAACTATCATGAGCAGTTGAAGAACCAGAATTGTTCTTCTCAGACTTGGTTTGGTAATCAAGCACCAAACCACAAATACATTGCTTAATCTTATCAGCCACCAAGTCAGTATTAGTACTGCCAAACTTAGCAGCATAATACTCAATCACATGCAACTTGTATCTAGGATCAAGAACCACTGACACAGCGAGAACCAAGTGTATATCATCCCAATACTTAGAAAATTTCTCCCACATACTCTCAGCCATAGCCGAGATAAGAGAATTGGTATCAGCACACCATTCCAACAATTTCAGTCTCAGATCACAAACCTTGGGGAAAAACAAATTAGCAGTGGGATACTTGCTGCCAGAAAACAGCTTTGTGATCTCACTGAAAATTTTCAGCTTATCAATGACCATAGCAGCAAACTCCCGGTGCATACTAGTAGGGACAGTGGTGTATTGACTATCCCACTGCCTCAAACGAGAGAAAACATCTCTATACACAATGGCAGTAGATAGCATATCATAGGTGGAGTTCCACCTAGTTGGACAATCAAGCACAAGTTGCTTCTCACAAGGCACTTTAAGCTGCTTAGCAGTTTCAAAGAAGGTTTGTACCCTCTTAGGAGTGGACTTCCAGTACACAACACTATCTCTAACCAATTTTTCGGGCTCATAATAAACCTTCGCCCGCTTTTCGGGCTCATAATAAACCTTCGCCCGCTTTTCGGGCTCATAGAACTCCCACTCTCAGGGGATATTAAGCATTGAATAGTAAACCCCTTGTACTTCCTCGAGTGAAGGTCAATGGAAAGCGGGAGGCATACAGGTTACGTCAGTTAAAAATGGCTACTTCCTGGTGCGCTTTACGAGTGGAGTGGACTACGAACGAGCTGTGGCGGGAGGTCCATGGATGGTGGGCGATCATTACTGC